TAGCTCAAGTCCCTTCCCTGTTTTTAGGTCTCTCTATCCTGTCTCGTCCGTCCCATTTAGCTGTTGCCTGGCGAGTAGTCTAAGATCTCTTCAGTCTCTCTCAATGGTTAAATATTGTGTTTTTATTTAAAACCAAGGAGATTTACATCAAGTCAAATTCTCATTCTTGTCAGAATCGTTTGGTTGATTTCTTCAGCGCCATCATCCATCCAACTCGGTTAGGCCTTGGAGCCATGAGTTTAGTCATCCAGCGTGGTCTATACAAATTTGCAGCTGGCTTCTGTAATAAATCCTGGAGAAACACACCTAGTCAATTTACAAAACGAGAGGCAAGGAGCTTGGCTTACCATGGCTTGCTACAAGCTTGGTGTGACAATATTTTTTTCCCCAGACCATGTTTCCTGCCCTCTAGCTATTGTCCTTATCCCCTTCATCACCTTCTGGGCCTGGAACTCTAAGACTCTGACCTTAGCAGCATCCAGGGCTCAGCTGGGTGAGCTTCTTGCTTTATCGTTCTCGGAAGCAAGACTCCACTTCCCAGCTATCATTTCTAAACATGTTCTGCCCCACCTTTTTCTAGTCCCTTTTATGTGTGGTCTCCCCCTCTACCCCCACTCCCCTTAGAATGTAAGACCCTTGAAGGCAAGGTATCTTGTTTCCTTGTATTTATCTTGACTTTTAACCCCCAAGCTTAGCACAGTTCAGGAGTATAGTAAGCACTTAATAAATGTTTTTATCATTCATTCATCATAGAAAAAGATAATCTGTTTCAAAATAGGGAACATTTGGTTAAAAAAGCAGGACAGCTTGCACTTTTGAAATGTTTAGTATCTGCTTCAATCGAAGGTAGGAAGGTAGGAAGGAAAAAATTTTTTTCTTTACTTCTATGTATTTCATGCTTAAAAAATACAAAAGATTCTACCATAAGTTAGTCACTATTGGATGCAGTGGGACAGGACAACCTTAAAATATACATCATATCCACCATCTCTAGGGTTGGGGCAGGGGGGAAGGATAGGAAAGAAAAAAATAGAGAAAAATTTACATGATAATTTCATTGTATTGCAAGTTGTGCATAGTAGATTTGCAGTTTCATGTGCAAGCATCTTTTTTATTGTACTATGTTATGGAAATGCTTGTTTTATTCCATAAATTAAAAATAAAATTAAATTTTAAAAATATACACATCCCTAAAATGTTTTGTCTCACTTTTGATGAATGTAAACCAATGTATGTTCTTCCCAGTTTTATCCTTTGTACAGATAGATGAAGGTTTGTGTGTGTTCAGAAACCTTTTCTAATTTTTTTCATGGTTCTCTCTTTTTTTACTCTGAGTCAAAAGTAAAGTTCTTTAAGGGAAGGGGACCGGGTCTGCAATTTCATACAGATCTTCATCTGCTCTTCAATTTATAGACTTAAAGAGTCAATTACTTGAGAGGTTTTGACTCTCCCAGTGTCACATATATAGATGTAGTATGTGTCCTGGAGTCAGGAAGACTTGAATTCAAATCCTGCTTCACACACTTAGTAGGCATGTGACCAGGACAAGTCACTTAGCCTTTCTTGGCCTCAGTTTCCACCTCTGTAAAATGAGAATAATAATAATAGCTACCTATATAATAATACATACCTGTAGGGTTGTCATGAGGGTTAAATGAGGTAGTATTTGTAGAGCACTTTCTAAATCTTAAAATGGCTAGCAATTACTATTACTAGTATAGGTATGATAGGTCAGATATGAGACCTAAACCCACATCTTCTTGGCTCCAAAGTCAATTCCCTTTCCACTATAGTAGGCTGCAAAAGAATGAAATAATCTGCTCATTAACTTTCTATTTTAAAATAATTCAGTTCCAGCCCTCATCATTTGTCCTAGTAACCATTCTTCCTGCCTGCTTTCACATACTTTCATTCCTCTGTTGGTCCCAAATGCCTCAAACCATCAGTTCAATGAGTTCTGTTTTTATTACAGCTCACAAAAAAAAAAGTTTACAGCCAAAGTGCATCTTCTGATCTTGTTCTTCTACAGCTTACGTGTATTTATTCACCCAAACTTGTTTTGTGTGTGTTTGTCCAATTTTGTGTCTGTGTGTTGTATCTGCAAGGGTTTCATGCATTTTCATCATATATTTTCTCCTGCTAATCATCCAGTTACCTGATTAAGAACAGATGGAAATGATCTGAAAAGTGAACTTTAGAGAGACCTGCTTGTAATGTCCTGTAGGTTCTGTGAGCAGTACGCTGATATAGTGCAGAATAACACACACCAAGAAATCTTCAATAATAAGCACTTAGGGCACATACTGCCCTCTCCCAGCTTCTTGCCTTGGCTCACAGAATCCTGTACCCCTAGAATGCACTGGCTATGGGATCTCTACCTCTTCTCCTTCAAAAGTCATCTAGCCCAGGCACCACCTTCTCCATGAAATCTATAATATTTCCCAGCTGATGATGTCTCTTATTTACTTATCATATCTTTATTGGTATCACAATTATTCATATCTCTCAACTGAGGCAGATGGTGACACAGTAGACAGAGCACTGGTGCTGAAGTCATGAAGACTTAAGTTTAAATCCATCCTCGAGTATTTATTATCTGCGTGACCCTGGGTGAGTCACTTATTCTGTTTGCCTCAATTTCCTCAACTGTAAAATAAGGAAAATGTATCTACATCAGAAGGTCATTGTGAGAATTAAATGAGATCACATTTGTAAACAGAGCCTGATACATAGTAGGCACTTAATAAATGCTTATTCCCTTCCCTTCTACTACTAGATTATAATCTTCTTGAGGGTAAGGGTCTCACAGTGTTGTTGTAAGGAAAAGTGCTTTGCACACCTTAAAACTGAAAGCTTTTTATATTACGAAACTCTGAGTTAGTATTTCTCTGTCACCAGTGCCTAGTACCATGACTCGCGCAAAGAAGTTGCTTAATTAAAAAAAAACTCAATTATATTATATTATATTTCATAGTTGCAAAATATTTTCAAATATTTTAGTCCTCTCAATAATACTAGACTTACCAATTTGTAGAGCTTAAATGACTGATTAGTCACTTTTTATCCAATAAATAGGAATGACACAATTTTAATAACAGGAAAATGAACCACGTGGCATGCCTATACCAAAAGCCATAGTGAATGAAAAACATCTATTAAACACCTACAGTATACTAAGCACTATGCTAGGCTCTAGGGGAAGATATACAGTTTAGATAAGATATAGTCCCTGACTTTCTGAGGTTTGAAGTTGGTAAAATAAACCACATTAAATTGCTGAACTCTAAACCTAAGCTACTTAGATTTTTTTTTCACCATATTCTCAGTATTTAGTGAATGAATTTTCCCTAAAACATACAGAAGTATTTCTATTCAAAACTGAGACTCTAGCTTTTTCTAAAGCTTTTCTAAATGAGTAGAGAATCCATAGAACCCAGTCTGTGGAAATCAACTTGAATAAAACCAGGATGTTATCATTTAAAATAAACACTGACTGATTCCAATGCAGTTAGTAATACATTAATAACCAATGCCCCCAAATTCAGATACTAAATTTCAATTCTGACCAAACTGACCACACTTTGAAAAGTAGTTATTCTATCCAATGCTCTCCTAGGGAAATACACACAGAAACAGAAATTTCTTTTTTTTCCTGTGTTTTTAAAAATCGTTATCAGTATCTTTTGTTTTTATTTTAGCCATTTTCAAACATGCTGCATCTCATAGCATATGTAACATTCCATACCCACAGACACTGTTGCTTCCTCCCCACCCCAACTTGTGTCACAAAAAGAAAGCATTTCCTCCTCTCTTCTCAAGTCAAGATTAGCCGTCACCAATACATAGTGCCTACGTTGTTCTTTTCACTGATGATATTGGTAGCCATTGTATAGACTGTTTTCCTAGTTCCATTTATTTTACCTTGCATCAATTTATGTATCTTCACATTTCTCTTCCCTTTCCTCAAATTCATCATTTCTTAAGGTCTAATAATATTCCATTATATCCATACACCACAATTTGTTCAGAGCATTTGCTAATCAGTAAACATCCATTTTTGTTTTTAGTCTTTCCTGCCCCTAAAAGTCTTGCAATGAATATTTGGTTGCGTATGTAACATTTGTTTCTGTCTTTGACCTCCCTGTAATATATGCCCAGTCATGAGATATCTGCTTCAAAGGTGACCCAGAAGAGTTTTTGCATCGCTAAGTGTGCTAGAATGGTCATTAAAATCTTAACATTTGTTCCTAAAAGGTTCAGCCAATCTGGGGTAAATAGCCCACATTTCTGGGGTGGAAGCCTGAATGTTTATTTCCACTGCTTTTTATTTCCAGACCATTTGAGGATTGACTAGCCCTAATAGCAAACAGACACACAGAAACTTGCTCTTAACCAATTTATGTCTAGAAAATGACTGCTGAGTCCATCCTAACGGGTTCCCTTATATACAGATGGCCTTTGCAATCACCATTAGTGGCGACTGGCAGTATTCTATTCTGCGTTGGAAGGCTTTAATCCAACATAACTCTATATAGTCACTTCTGCAGTTAAAAGTTAGTTGTCCTAAAACTTGGAGTATTCAAAACGAATGGCTGATCTTGGCACCAAGTTTGCTGAGTGAAACTTGGGGTTTCAGAGACAGAAAGATTTAAGAGCTTCTCACCTCACAAACTTGAGTTGCAGTTCAGGGGCAGTGACAACCTGTCAGAATTTCGTTCATGGCACCCTAGCAAACCAGTCACATGGACAGAGGAAATAGCTAGCAGAAACTCTTCAGACCCTGGTGCTCTCAGTCATTAATTCTATTGATTATTCTGGTGTTTAAATACTAAGACAGGCCTCGGTGCCAGCCTCAAATGCACCCAGTCAACTTGCATTTCCTTTGGCCTTTTAGAAAATGCAGACGTGCCAAAACACCAAAATGCTGTTGAGCTCCCGCCCCCCGCCAAAAAAAAAAAAAAACAGAGGGAAAAAAGTGTTCCAAACAAATGAAATGTTGATCTGCCTTTTATTAATTTCATTTTTTATCTTCTTGTGTACAGACGTTTGACAGCTGTGACATTCATGGGCACTGCATTCGAAAAAGAAGACATAAATATTCAGAGACATATTAGAATGCTGTTCAATGTAAGCACCTGTCTACTTAGTGTTGACAGAAAATCATTTACTTTGCTTTATGCGTGTTCCCTCCAGAGACCACAGAGGTCCTATTTTATTTAAAGAGCTGGTCCCAACATCAGTGCTTGCTCCTGAAGCTGCACTATATACAGCTAATTATATTTATTGAGGAAACAATTTTGGTTTATATTTTCAATAATACTTAAACAATTTTGTCAATCTGGACTTCAGAATCTATTTCCCCCAGGGTTCAGTTAACAGAAGACCTCATAGGAGGCCTCATGCAGCAGCCACAGTTCAGTCAGCAAGTGAACTCAAGCTAAAGCTGAAATAAGTCATTATCGCCCCTAGAAGCTTCTCAAGTCTAACTTTCGTGACTGACTCTGTCAGTACTGCCTAAAAAAAGACTCCAAGATCAGTCTGTGAGTCTTTTTGTATAATCTCATAACCCATGTAATCCATAAGACATAATTCACAATCACATAACACTTTTGGAGGGCACGTTCCTATCCTCCATTGAAAGAGACCTTTCAAATCATTACATCAGACCTTTATTTGTTTGTTTACATATTCATTCATTCATTTGCTCCAAACTTTGACATCTTAGTATAGAACCTCCCTATGTATGCCACTTCTCTGTAATTTATACCCTCTGAGCACAGAGAGGGTTAAGTAACTTGATCATGGTCACCCAGGCAATGGATGTCTGAGAAAAAACCCATGTCTTCTTGACTTCTAGAATGTCACACTGCCTCTCTCCGGTCAATATTTTCTATTTTAATTTTTCCTACTTTTAACAAAAGAGGAGAATTAGAGTCAGTGTAATATAATGGAAAGAGAACTGAGTTTGAATATTCATATCCTACCTCAGACACTTCTAGCTGTGCAGCAAGAGGCAAATCATTTGATCTTTCAGTTTCATCTCCCCAAAAACAAGGATGCTGGAACGGATGAACTGTCAGGGCTCCTACAGTCCTAGATCCATGATTCAGTTATCTTTTTTATTCCCTAGAGCTGGAAGAAACCTTAGCAGTCATCTAGTCCAACCTGTTTGTGTTATAAATAAGGCAAATGAGGGCTACAGGAGAGGGCTGACTTGGCCAAGGTCATTTGGATAGCAAGTGCCAGAGTGGGTATTTGAAACCAGGTCTGCTGGTGCTAAATTTAGCATTTCTTTTTAGTATTCCTACAATTGTCTGATTCGTCATTCAACTTAACTGGTTAAATAAGCCATAGGATCACAGATTCAGAGCTTGAAAAGAACCTTAGAGTTCAACTTCTTCATTTTACAGATGAGGAAACTGAGGTACAGACAGGTTAAGGGACTTGCCCATGGTCAAACAGCTAGTTAAGGTCAAAGGTAGGATTATGAAACCAGGTTTTCCTGACTCCAGAGTCATCCTCTATCCACAACATCATGCTGCCTCTCAAAAGTGCCCCTTTGTAAGGAGCAAAATACAACGAAGATTTATAAGGAAGAAAAAGTGGTCAGAAGTGAATGCCATCGCCCTATAGCCTTCCCCTTTAAAATGGTAGTTGCTTTATTAGGCATTCAATAGACTTTTCTCACTCTGTCCGGATGAATAGAGCAGAGTTGCTGCAGTTGAATTAATTATATTCCCACACTGCCATGCTCCTTCCCAGCACTCTGTGCTTTGTAAAGTGCCCATCTTGAAGCCTGTGGCTTGCAATGGGGTAACGCCCACCTAGTCCAGGAACACTGCCCCCCCCACCCCCATGTTAACAGAATCTCTGGTCAGAATAACAAATGTATCACATTATCAGAAATATAACGAAACACAGCCCACCGTGAATAAAGCTTAATTTTTTGGCTATGACATTTCTTCTACTTTTTAAGCTTTACCTGACAAGAGCGGGTAATGATGTTGGCTGGGGCCTGATGAGATAGCAAGGAGGAAGATGTTAAGAAGCCAGGGAAAGAGATCAGAAAAGAAATAGACTTACTCGGGCTTACCAGGCTGCAAAACCTGACAATGCTGCCACCTACAGGCCTAAATGCTCAACGCCGGCTTCTGAATTCTATAACTCTTACCTAAGAACAATGAAAAACGTGGATTGTTGTGGGGGACCTGGAACCCCAGAGATGTTCACGAAGGGTTAATTCACCAGGTGATCTGAAGGCGCTTAGCTAGTTCACTGCTCTAGCATAATTTAATTAGGATCATCTCACAACAACCAAAGCTGTCTATAGGAATTAGAAAAGCCGCAAGTTCAGATCACATGTGAATCTCTTTGCTCAATTAAAGCTAAGCTATTTCGGGTTTAAGTCTTTTCTTTCCCTCCTTTACAGTATATGCAAGGAGCAGCAGAGCGTGGCCTGCTCCTCACATTAAAATGATTACATAAGGCCCATAGCATTCAAAATACTTAGGGAAATCACTACGGTTTACCCTCTGACCTTGGGCATTTAAACTTTGTCAGGAGAGTGTTGGCTGGCTCTCCTCTGTATTAAGAAAATTATAGTGGTTATTTGTACCAGCTGAGGTAATAATTACTGGAAAAGGAATATGAAGGGTGCATCTAAATAATGTTCAAAGCATTTTTTTTTAAATCTCAGTTCTAGATATCCCTGCCACAGTGACTGATCATGCTTATGCCAGCTGTAAAAGATACCATTTTATTTTCTTGCAGGATTGTTAGGGAAACTATATATACATATATATGCATGTATATCTCAGAAGAAGTATTGCCAAGTCCTTAGTGAAGGCATGGGGGTTACTTTACATAAGGTATAGTGGAAAGAATACTAAATCTATAATCAAAAAGAGGGTGTTGAATCTGGCTTCTACCACTTATTACTTGTATGAGCTTGAGCAAGTCTCTTCCTTTCTCATAGTTTTCTGTTTTATAAAATGAGAGGGTTAGTCCAGATAATCTTTAAGGTCCCTTCCAAATTCTAAATCCCAGAATCCTAAGTAGGAGTAACTATGTGAGCCTCAAACACGTTACAGCCAAGTTTCTTTTAAAATGTTTTTATTTGCATCACCCTCAGTTACAAAATTTCTTTCATCATTGATTGAGACAAGAGGCAAGGTGTCAATTGTTCATTACTTAGCAAAAATTTAATGAGATATTCACTAGTGATATAACTATATTTTGCAATTAATATTTTTTGAAATAGTGCTAGCCTTCAATTTTGGCTTATATATTTTAATTTGTATTTCTGCCATTGCTGTCTCCAAATTCTACTTTTTATTTATTAATTATTTAGCACCATGGAAGCTTAAAATTAATAAAATATATTTACTTAGAGGAATAAATGACTACTCAAAATTTAAAATTCATCTATTTTTGGTAAGATTGATATTCACAAGAAATACCCAAGATTTTTATTTAAAAGTCTTGCTAGCAATCTTAACAATGTGCACTACACTATTTTTTTTCCTAAACACCCAATGCATTTCCTAATGTCTCACTTAAGACAATTAAAACTAGAAAGAACAATGAAATTTCCAGCCTTTGCTCTGGGAAACTCTTAGATCAAAGAGAATAGTAAAATCCCATTTCTCAGTATTATAACCTACTTATGGCATGCTATGGAAAGAAAAACATCTTTGCATGTAAAAATAAAACGAGCCACAAACCTTGTGTCTTGGCCTCATCATATCTATTAGTTTCTAGCATGGGAGGGGCGTGGAACCCCAACTTTAAATGATCCATCCTGCATATTGCACAAAACCGAAAAGGTTAATTTTCTCCTGCCTTCCCAACCAGATAGTTGCAGGATTAACAACTCCTTTAAATACTAGTTAGATTTAGCTATAATAAGCATATAAATACAATAAGACATTCCTAAGGGGGATACAATTTTTTTTAAATTTCCATATTTGCTACAATAAATGTTATGCCTAGAAATTTTATAGCTAACAGAAACACAGAAAATACTATACCCAAAGCTAGAAAACTGTTCCAGTACAAAGCAAGTCTGATATATTACCTCCCAAATACACAGTATATCCCTAGTAAAGTTGTAAATTATGGTTGCAAATGAGGCCACAAACAAAATTTTGCTCAAGGCATGAATCATAAATTCAAACAATAATCATCTCCTGCATGCGGCACAACTACTCTGTTTACTTCTTCTACGCTGTTTCCTAAACATGAAGATGAAAGTAGGTCAAGTAAATTTAGCATCTTTTTCTCATGAAGTATGTTATGATATTGGGTGGCACTGACTAATTTACAATTATATGAACCTTTTAAATATTAAAATCAGTATTTTCATGGGGTGGGGAGGGGGTTGTGTCATTACACAGATTGACATTTTACCTCATCAGGACATGGCATCTCCAAAAACCCAGATGTGAAAGGGTGGGAAAGGGGGAATTATTTCTTCCAACAGCAGCCTGCAGCAGGGAATTTGGACATATTTTCATATTCAAAAACAACAGGAGACTAGGTTGATGGCAAAGAATGATTTTGTGAACTATTTTGTTTGTTTGCCGGTTCTTACAGATGGGGGGGGGGAGCAGAGAGAGTACACTGATTTCTTGCAATTCCAGAATTTCTAAATACCACAAAATCAAATAAACAAGCATGGCATTTGGAGTGTTGGCAGGGTAGCTTGGACTGATCCTATAAGATGTGCCCTAGAGAGAAGCTACCAATTTTTTTTTCCCAGTCTGGGGCACGAGAGGGTCCACTTTTTTGTTAAACCAGTTGATCAAATAAAGTGACCTTAAACTTCCGACCTAAGAATTATAGCTGAAAAAAAATACAGTTTCAAAATGCTACATGGAAAGGTAGGTTTACAAATATTAACATAATCATATTTCATTAAGGGAACAAGAGTGAATGGTGGAATGGTAATATATGACACATCTTTGCTGATTGAATGGATGGATGAAATGCATTTACTATGTGACAAGCACTGTGCTAGGCACTGGAGAAATAAATACAAAATCAAGACAATCCCTGCCTTCAAGGAGATCTTATTCTAACGGGGGAAACAACATTTAAGAGTGTGGCCAGGGAAGGGAGATCCGGTGTGGGAAATCAGAGTTAACAAGTAGAGTAATCAATTACCATGACTTTTCAGAGAAAATAATAGTACTGATTCGAAATAGACTTTGATTTGGTTGTAGACTTTATAGAATGTAATCAGATTTTCTATCCAATTCAATGCAATTAGACAAACATTTATTATATGCAATACTATGGTTAAAGTACTAGGAATACAAAGATAAAAATGAACCCACCCTGCCCTCAAGCATCTTACATTCAATGTGGATATAAAGCTAGGAGGACACAAAAAAGAGAGTAACTTGGAAATTGTGGGATCTTGTTGACTGGGCTATAATTAACTCAATGAAACCTGTATAAGATGCTTACAACCAACTTAGACATAATTAATATTGGCTCAGTTGAAGCTTGATACTTATCTTCAGAATTGCACAAACACACAGAGTTTCATTTAATTATAGAATCAAAGTACTTTCAGTATTTTTCTCCTGTTTTGTCTTTGTAAACAGAACTTTAGGTATGATGATCATGAGTAAGGGATGGTGAATATTATCTTAGCTTGTGTTTATGTATGTATTATACATGTGTTAGCTTTATATACTCCCGCTGTCAGAAACAGTTAAAAACAGTTTTGCTTTATTCCAGTTTTCAAGGGATTCCCTGCTCAGATATAGCCTGCTGAGTAAACCATGCCATGCCATCCACTCCTTAGAGAGCACTCACTTTTTACCTAAACAATGCTAATGGCAGAATTAGTGGATGGTCAACTAAGTGCATAGCAAGTTTAGGCACCATGTGGATAACTAATGGGGAGAAAAGAGAGGTGAAGTATCATGCTGCCCTGTGCCAATGCTTCCCCATTATATACCCCTATTCTCACACCCAATCTGTAATACCTTAAGAAGTGAGAGGGGAGTTCAGAGGATCGTACTGTTTATACCATTACCACCTACTCTCTTACCACTTCCACTGAACGATGTGTGAAGGCATTCATAGTCATAGGAGAGAAAAATAGCACACTGAAAAGGGGGAGAGGAAGATTGCTAGTGGGGGATGGGGGGTGAAGAGAGGTTGGATAACATCAACAGGAGGATAGACAAGATTAGATGAAAAAAGCAAAGAGCTTTGGATTCATCGTACATGTATCCTGAGGCTGAAATGGAATGCTGCTTATCAGAAGGACTGCCAAATTCCTTAATCAAGATATTACAATACTAATCCAACTGTATCAAATAAAATTCATGCTTCTCAGTGACTGTGCTTTATCTTTATTATGACCATAGCAAGCACAGAATAGGAGCCTGGTGTGACCAACTTCGTAATCATACCCAGCCCACACTCTCTGCTTGTTTAGGGTTATGGAGGCAATCAAGAGGCAACATATTGGATAAAGGACTGGTCTTAGAGTTAGGAGGATCTGGGTTTGAGTCTCAATACTGTCACATACTAGCTGTGTGACCCTGGGTAAGCCACTTAACTCCTCAATGACCTCAAGCAACTCTCTAAGCCTATAAGTTTCACAGAAGGTAAAGGCTTGCATGGTGAGAGGAAAATTCTCAGGAGAAACTCCTATGAAATCATTGGTCTCGTTAAAAAAAAAAAAGAATAACAGCAATATTGTATGATGATCAGCTATGAATGACTTAGCTATTCTCAGTAACATAGTGATCCAAGACAATTCTGAAGGACTTAACGATGAAATATGCTATCCATCTCCAGAAAAAGAACTGATGGAGTCTGAATGCAAATAGAAGCATACTTGTTCTTTTCTTTCTTTTTCTTTGTGTTTTCTTTCACAACATGACTAATATGGAAATATCTGCACATGTATAACCTATATCAAATTACTTGCCTTCTCAATGAGGAGGGGACATGAGGGAAGGAAGGAGAGAATTTGGGACTCAAAAATTAAAAAAAATCTTTAAAATTATTTCTACATGTAATTGGGAAAAATAAAATATTAATTTTTAAAAGATCACCATCACCTTTCTATTAAAGTTAATAATAATAATAGCTAGTACTTACA